TTTTCCCATCCTTGTCCCCAGAGTAGCCATTTCTGTCCTCATCTCCGTCCTTGTCCCTATCCTCATCCTATTGAAAAATAGGGAAAACTCCCTGTCCCCATCCCTCTCCAGGGAGGAATGATCCAGTCCCCATAGAGGCTTATCCTTGTCCATCTCCATAGGGATGACACCACCCGGAAAGAACAATCCTGTCCCCGAAGGAGTACTTCCTATCCCAGTCCCCGTCCCCATTCCTCCCTGACCCCACAGAGGCAATCCCTGCCCCCCATCCACGCCCCACACCCAGGCAGGGCAGGGTTTGTTTGCCCAGCGCTGGTTTCTCGCTTGTGCAGGGAGGGGCACCGTTGCCCTTTACCCAGGGCGGGTGATGGGGCCGAGCCCCCCGCTCAGTGCCACCCGCCGGGAGACCCATCCTGGGGCCGCTCCTTTGGAGAGCTGTTTTGGGGTCCCCCCCCGGTGACGTGGGGCCGGGGTGCGCCCCAGCCATGTCATTCCGTAAGGTGGTGCGGCAGAGCAAATTCCGGCACGTCTTTGGGCAGCCGGTGAAGACAGAGCAGTGCTACGATGACATCCGTGTGTCCCGCGTCACCTGGGACAGCACCTTCTGCGCCGTCAACCCTTCCTTTGTGGCTATCATTGTGGAGGCCAGCGGCGGCGGAGCTTTCCTGGTGCTGCCCCTGCACAAGGTGGGCTGGGGATGGGGATGGTTTGGGATGGGGACACGATGGGAATGGAAGTAGCTTGGGATCGGGATGGGGATGTGTTGGGGAGAGGGATGGGATGGGACAGGATAGGATGGGGGTGGCTTGGGATGGGGATGGAGATAGACAGGAATGGATGGGGATGGCTTGGGGATGGATGCGGATGGGATGGGGATGGGATAGGGGCAGGAATGGAATGGGATGGGATTGGGATGGGAATGGATGGGGATAGGGATGGGTTGAGATGGAGATGGGGCTGCGTTGAAATGGGGCTGGGGCTGTGCTGAGGTTGATGGAGACGGGGATGTGGAGCTCAGATGAAACAAGGATTAACCATCCCTCACACTGTCCCTGCATCCCCAGACTGGCCGCATTGATAAGTCGTACCCCACCGTGTGTGGGCACACAGGCCCTGTGCTAGACATCGAGTGGTGCCCACACAACGACCACATCATTGCCAGTGGCTCCGAGGACTGCACTGTCATGGTGAGGAGTGGATGGGAAAGGGGTTACTGGGGTGGCGTGGCACAGAGGACACCTTCTTGCTGTTCACTCCCCATAGGTGTGGCAGGTGCCCGAGGGGGGCCTGGTGCAGCCACTCACGGAGCCAGTGGTGGTGCTGGAGGGGCACTCGAAGCGTGTGGGCATCATCGCCTGGCACCCCAGCACCCGCAACGTGCTGCTCAGTGCAGGTATGGGGACAGTGCGGGGGGCACGGGGTGCTGGGTGACACTGGGACAGATGGTTGAACTGCATCCATACCGTGCAGGCTGTGACAACGTGGTGCTGATCTGGAACGTGGGTACGGGAGAGGAGCTGTACCGCCTGGAGGGGATGCACCCTGACCTCATCTACAGCGTGAGCTGGAGCCGCGATGGGAGCCGTTTCTGCACTGCCTGTAAGGACAAGAGTGTGCGTGTCATCGACCCCCGCCGCGGCACTGTGCTGCTGGTAAGTGAGACAGCAGAGTGGCAGCGTCCCCGTGTCCCCAGGGTGCTTCCCATCCCTTGTCCCCTGGTGCTCCCTGCTGCCCTTGGATGCTTGCAATTCCTTGTCTCCAGATGTTCACTGGTACTCCCCATCATAGAATCAGAATCATAGAATGGCCTGGGTTGAAAAGGACCACAATGACCATCTAGTTTCAACCCCCTCTGCTATGTGCAGGGTCACCAACCACCAGACCAGGCTGCCCAGAGCCACATCCAGCCTGGCCTTGAATGCCTCCAGGGATGGGGCATCCACAGCCTCCTTGGGCAACCTGTTCCAGTGTGTCATCATCCTTAGAGTGTCCCCATCTTTCATTCCTAATGTACTTCTCCTATCTCCCTGACACCCTGCATCCCTTAGATGTCCCCATCCCTTGTCCCCAGAGTGCTTTCCCTATTTCCCCCATGCCCTGCATCCCTGGGATGTCCCTGCCCCTTGTCCCTCAGACACACCACATCCTTCCCCGTATCCTTTGTGTGCCCCCAGTTCCTTGTCCTCACTTGCTCCCTGGTGCTCCCCATTGCCTTGCATTCCTCAGGTGCCCCCATCCCTTGTCCCCAGGGTGCTTCCCATTCCTCCTTGCTATCCTGGATTCCTTGAGTATCCCTGCCCCTTGTCACCAGGGCACATCAAATCCTTCGCTGATTCCCTGTGTCTCTTTGTCCCCAGGTGCTCCCTGCACCTCTTGGGTGTCCCCCACATCCCTTTGTCCCCGGGGTGCTTTCCATCCCTCCCCAGTATCCCACATCTACGGGGTGTCCCCATCCCTTGTTTGTGGGACACTTTTCCTGACCCCTGTGTGCCCCCATGCCACTGCCTCATGCCACTGCCCTAATGCTGTACTCCCACCCTGCAGGAGAAAGAGCGGGCACATGAGGGTGCTCGCCCCATGCGTGCCATCTTCCTGGCTGATGGCAAGATCTTCACCACTGGCTTCAGCCGCATGAGCGAGCGGCAGCTAGCGCTGTGGGACACGGTGAGGGGCTGCAGGGGTCCCTTGGGGGACCGTATGGGGGTGCAGCATGGGGCTGACGCTCTACTCCCCAGGAGAACCTGGAGGAGCCCATGGGTCTGCAGGAGCTGGACTCTAGCAACGGGGCCCTGCTGCCCTTCTACGACCCTGACACCAACGTGGTCTACGTCTGTGGCAAAGTATGACCCCACACCTCCCTCCCGTGCCCCCTCCTCGCCCACCCCATACTCACCAGCTGCCTGTAGGGCGACTCGAGCATCCGCTACTTCGAGATCACAGAGGAGCCACCCTACATCCACTTCCTCAATACATTCACCAGCAAGGAGCCGCAGCGCGGCATGGGCTGGATGCCCAAGCGTGGGCTGGATGTCAGCAAGTGTGAGATTGCCAGGTGAGGCTGAGGGTGCTAGGGTGTTCCTGTGTCCTCCCCAGTGTCCCCATGTTTCCCCCTCTAACAACCCTTTCCCCCTGCCTCATCAGGTTCTACAAGCTGCACGAGCGTAAGTGTGAGCCCATCATCATGACGGTGCCAAGGAAGGTAAGTGGGGACTGGTGGGGGGAGGTTGGTTTGAGGGAGACCCTGGGAATGGTGATGCCAAGGGGTGATAGGTGGGAGCCCCTGGGTAAGTGGGGAGGGAGGAGGAGGGCTTGGGTAGTGCTTAGTAGCTGGGTGGGGGTCCCTGGGCAGTATGCAGTGATTGAGGAGGGGTCTCTAGGTGGACTGGGTGGGGGTCCCAGGGCAGGGCAGGGCAGAGCAACGGGGGGCTCTTGGGGATCCCTAGGGGAAGTGGGGGGGGAGTCCTGTGTGCAGGGGTTTCTGCATTGTGGCTGGGTGGGGGACCAAGATCAGGTGGGTGGGGGTTCCAGAGCAGGGCACAGTAATTTGGGAGGGGTCTCTCGGTGGGCTGCGGGGACGGTCCCTGGGCAAAGCAGGCAGGGGTCGGTTGGGGGCCCCTGTTGAGGCTGGGCGGGGGTCTCCACTCGCGTTGCAGCAGATGGGGAGGTCCCCGGGTGGAAGCCACTGCCCAGGGGCTGGATGGGGTTGCCGCCTAGCTGGGCGGAGCTCCCTGGGTAGGACAGGTAGCCATGCAGCGGTCCACTGGGTGACGCTGCTTGTGGGGCGCAGTCGGACCTCTTCCAGGACGACCTGTACCCCGACACGGCGGGCCCCGACCCGGCGCTGGAGGCAGAGGAGTGGGTGGCGGGGCAGACGGCGGGGCCGCTGCTTGTGTCCCTGCGCCAGGCCTACGTCCCCAGCAAGCAGCGGGAGCTGAAGGTGAACCGCCACTCCCTGCTGCACGACGGCCGCTCCGCCACCACCAGCACCGCCACCGCCAGCGCTGCGCCGGCGCCCATCGCCCCCAGCTCCCGTCTCAGCGCACCCCCGGCTCTGGGCAGCGGGACCGCCGCCCCGGCGGTGAGTGCAGGGGGCGTGGCCTTTGGGAGGGGGCGTGGCCTTTTTGGGAGGGGCGTGGCCTTCGGGGGCGTGGGCGCGGTTTTTTTTAAGTGACGTGTTTGCTGAAGGTGGCGCGGTGGGCGTGGCTTTGAGACACGTGACCTCTAGAAAAGGGGCGTGGTCTTGAGCGGGGTGGGCGGGGCTCCAGTTGTCGCCGTGCCCGGTTCGCAGGTGGGCGGGCGGCTGGACGACGTGCTGCAGGAGATGGCGGCGCTGCGGGCGCTCGTAACGGAGCAGGGCCAGCGCATCGCCCGCCTGGAGGAGCAGCTCAGCCGCCTGGAGAACGGACACGTCTAGGGGCGACCCGGCCCACCCACCCAGTGACTGCGTGGGGGCTGCCCCCCCCCCGCAGCCGGGGACCAAGCCTCTATCCCCTGAGCCCTCCTCGTGTCCTCCCCTGGGGTTATATTCTGTCCTTCAGGGATCGCGGCTCCCCCCCGCTCAGGGTCCTGTCCCCACCCTGCTTGGTGCCCCTCGTTCCATCTACCCAGCCGTCCCCCCGGCAGCTGCCCCATCACCCTTACTGCCTTACTGGGTGCTGCCCACCTGTGGATCGTGGACCACTTTGCCCCCTGCCGCCCCGCAGTGGCCCGCAAGGGTTAGTGGGGAGGTCCTTGGGATCAAACACTAAAGCCCCTCGTACCCCCCGTGCCCGCAGGGTTGGGTAGGGTCATCTCCCTTTACCGTGTGGCACAGCCACGGGATCCCCTTCTCCTTTGCCCTCCCTCCAGGGCAGGGTCCAAATCTATATTTTCACTCCAAATAAAGCTCTTTATAATAAAGGTGCTGGGTGAGGCTGGGGGCGTGAGGGCAATGGAGGCTTTGTTGTAGTGTCATGGGGTGTGTGTGTGTGGGGGGGGGCTATGCATGTCCCCAGCCCACGGTGGGGATGTAGGCGACAGGAAGAGGCAGCAGCTATAGCTGGGGGCTCAGGCACAAACTGTTACAGCAGTAACATAGCAGTCAGCGTTACCGGGGCCGTGCTCCCTCTCGCTCTTCACCCAGGCTGTGGGTTTCACAGCTGCTGGGTGCATTTCGGATGGTGGGGGGGTGGCAGGTGCAGCCGCTGTCACCCTTCCCCCCCCCCGCATTGATACATCCGCTGCCGGGGGGGCAGGAAGTGCTCGAGGCCCCCCTGCACCACTTACACCGCAGCAGCAGGACCTGCTCCAGCAGCACTCGGTGATGGTGAGCACCCCAAAAACAGAGTGGGGGGAGAAGGGGTCACGGAGCAGGGTGGGGGCATCCCTGAGAATGGAAATATCCCAGAGAATAACAGGGAGGGGAGATTAAAAGTGCCCACAGTCCCACCCCACGCATCCTCTCTGCCACAGTTACCCCGTTACAGATTCGGGGGTGAGGAGTGAAGCAGAGGGCCGCACTTTGTTCCCATGCGACTCCCCATCTCCAGACGCTGCGTTTGGGGGGAGGGGAAAAAAACCCACGGGTCATTGGGGCAGCCCGATGGGTTGGGGGTCAGGGCCTGGGGGCCCACGGGGCCGAGCGCTGCGATACTGACGAGGACCCATCCCGTCTCGCAGGACACCGCCCGGCGCCCCGCAGCCGCGCTGCTGCTGGCGGGTCTGGCGGCAGCGGGGGAGCCCGCAGTGAGCCGCAGCGACCGGGCGGTGGGAGCCCTGCTGGGGCTGCTGCTGTGCCTGGCCGTGGGGCTGGCCTTGGCCTGGCGGCACCTCTGTCGCCTCTCGGACGGCCGCTACCACCCCCGGCCCGCGGGGCGCCGCGCCCTGGCGGTGCTGCGGAGCCGATGGCGGCGGCTGCTGGGCCGGGAGAGCACCGTCGAACCCAGCGGGGAAGGGAACGAAGCCCCGGAAGCGGAGGAGCTGATGCCGTGGGGCGCGGAGCGGCAGCAGCGCGAGGAGGAGGAGGAGGACGGAGAGGAAGAGGCCCCGCAGGAGGAGGAGGACGAGGGAGAGGAGGAGGAGGAGGACGAGGAGGAGGAGGAGCAGCGCCCGGCAGAGCAGCCCCACGCACTGCCCGGCGACGCGCACAGCCTCGCGGGGACGGCGGCGTGGGGCGACGCGCGGCCGTCGGACAGCACCGCGCTGTGACGGCACCGCCCCAATAAAGCGCTCAGCGCTCCTCCGGGCGGACGCGGCGTGGTGGGGAGGGCGGGGCGCATCCCCCCACCCTGCCCCCTCCCAGCTCAGTACGCTGCAGCCGCACTGATTCATGCTTTAATGGGCACAAGCAGCCTGGCCGGGTCGCCGCCCTTCAGCACCGGCCCCTCTCGCCCCAAGGCACCGTTTCCCGGAATCCCCTCCCCCCCGCACCCCTACCTGGGCGGCCGCCCCCGACCCCCCCGCATCTTCTTGGCGGAGGCGATAGGCAGCGGGGCCGTGGCCTCGGGCGGGGTGCCGCCCCCCAGCCCCAGCTCCATGGGCTCTGCAGACCGGAAGGGCTCGAACGGGGAGAACTTCACCGGGCTGCAGAGGGCAGACGGGGGGGGGGGGGGGGGGGGGGGGGGGGGGGGGGGGGGGGAGGGAGGGGGTGAGGGGTGGGCAGCTTTCCCGTAGTGCCCCCCAAACCTGGCACGGGTACCTGACTGGGGTGTGGGGGCTGCTGTTGATGCGGCGGGGGGAGCGCACCTTAGGCTGGAAGGAGAAGCCCTCCTTGATACTCTCCAGCACTGAGGGGGCCACGTAGGTGAAGCCCTGGAGGAAGGGAATGGCAGAGGGAGGGGCGGGGGGCAGCGGGACACCTCTCCCTGTGCATCCACCCCGTACCAGGAAGGCCTGGTTGGCACTCTCACTGATGATGGCATCATCGGGGCTGTCCACGGGGGTCTGGCGTGTGAAGCGGGCATCGAACTGGCTGACATCCTCCTCCGATTGCTGCGTGGGGGAAGAAACGTGGCTGCTGTCCTCTGAGCCCCCCCCCCTTCAACCATTGCTCCCCAGAGCCTTCCCAGTACCAGGCAGGGTTTGAAGGGAGGGTCCAGGCGGCGTGCCAGCAGCTCCTCCCAGTTGATGTGCCGGAAGAAGGGATGCTTCTGGAGGGGAACTAATGTTATATTGAGAGGGGAGGGAGAGAGGAACATCATTATACCCCTCCCCAACCCCTACCTGCACATCGGCTGCATCTCCCGGCCCCCCACCGACGCGCTGGCTGGGGTTGCGCTTGAGGAACTGCGAGAAAAAGGACACAGGGGTCCCGACTGTCCCCCTCCACACACACACGGGGTGATGGGAATGGGGGTGGATGGAGGCACCTTCTTGAGCAGGTCACGTGCATCGGGCGTCAGGTAGGGTGGCAGCACCAGCTTTCCCTTCAGTATCTTGTCAATGGTTTTCTTGCGGTTCTCCGCCGTGAACGGGGGCTGCCAGGCAGGGGTTGGCCACAATGAGCCCTCCACGCTGCCCACGTGCCTCCCTCAACCCCCCCCGGGTGACTTGCCGATCCGGTGAGCATGTCATACATCAGGGCACCCAGGCTCCACCAGTCCACTGCGCGGTTGTGCCCGCTGTGCACCAGGATCTCCGGGGCCCTTTGGGCAATGGGAGGGATGCCCTGAGTGCGTGCTCCCCCCAAGCTCCCCTGGCACCCCTCCCCCTGCTCACATGTACTCGATGGTGCCGCAGAAGGTGTGGGTGACTGCTCCATCGTGGATGGACTCCTTGCACAGACCGAAGTCCGTCAGCTTGATGTGACCTGGGTGGGTTTGAAGGGGGTCAGCCCCCAGGATGGCACTGCACGGTGGCCCCCCAGCGCCGTACCCACCCTGGCTGTTGAGCATGATGTTTTCTGGCTTGAGATCGCGGTAGATGATGCCGTTGGAGTGCAGGTGACCCAGTGCCAGCGTGATCTCACTGAGATAAAAGCTGTGCCACGGTGGAAGGGGGTGAGCAGCCCCCCATGCCCTCCTCCAGGTTGAGGACACGTGGGGACACATGAGGATACACAGGGTCGTGTGCTGGCCCTACCAGGCGGTGTCTTCCAGGAAGATGCCCTCACGCTCCAGCTGCATGAAGAGCTCCCCACCTGCAACAAACAGCCAGGGGGCCGTGAGCTGTGCCCCCTTCATGCCTGCCCCCCCGTCCCCCCATACCACTCAGGCACTCCAGGATGAGGTAGAGCTTGCCGCCCGTCTGGAAGGCATAGATGAGGTCAACGATGAAGGGGTGTTTGATGGCCTCCAGGATGTTTCTCTCAGCCCGCGTGTGCGCCGTGTCCTTGGCATTGCAGGCGATCTTGGCCTGGGACAGGGGGGTTACATGGTGAGGGGAGGGCATCACACAATGATGGGGGAGATCCCACAGTGATGCAGCGCTCCATGGCACCTTCCTACCTTCTTCAGCACCTTCATGGCGAAGATCTTCCCTGTGTTGGTGCCCTGTACCTTGCGCACCTGGAAGACCTGCAGGACGGGGGGGGAGGCAAACTTCCTGACACCCCCACCACGTGAGCAGCCCCCCCTTCCCAAAGCCCTCCCACCTTGCCATAGCCGCCCTTGCCCAGGACGCGCAGCAGCTCGAAGCAGTGGGGCCCGATGTGCTCGGGGCCGTTGTTGACGCTGCTCTCTGAGATCTCTATCTCCTCGTAGTGCCCCACAGGCCTGTGGGGTGGCGGTGGAGGGTTGGTGAGTAGGGATGGGGCCCCCTCAGAGCCGCCCCTCAATGTCACCCCGGTGCCATCCTACACTCACTCCAGGCCGTTCCCCCGGGGCTCCACCTCCATCTCCTGTGGGGACGTGGCATCAGTGCCACACGGCACGGTGGCTTTAGCCCTGTCCTTCATCCTTGGAACAGGTCCTGCCCCTCCACCCATCCTTAGCCCAGGTCCCTCGTCCCCATCCACATCGTGTCCCAGCCCTCCCATCACCATCTCTGATCCCCACCAGGTCCCAGAGCTCCTCACTATTCCTGAGCCCCCATCCCACACCCAGACAGCCCCGCTCACCTCTGCTTCATCCCTACCCCGTCCTCATCCCACATCCCTCTCTCCACCAGGTCCAATTCCCACGTCCCCACTCCCGTGCCCCCATCCCCAGCCAGTCCCGGTATTCCTATCTGTATCCCTCACCAGGTCGTAGTCACCTCTGTCAGGATCCCCGACTGCCGTCCTCGTGCCCCTGTCCCCAGTCCCACCACGTCCCAGCCCCATATCCCCACTCTCGATCAGCTCCCCACGCTGTCCCCGCGCCGTGTCCCCCCAAGGTCCCGACGTCCCCACGTCCCCGGTGAACTCACGGCGCCCAGCTCGGGCTCTTCCCCGTCGCTTCCCTCCTCGGTCTCCAGGTCGATGTCGAACACCCCCGCCATTGCGGCGCCGCAGCGAACCCGCGGGCCCCGCCCGGTCACGGCCGCGTCGCGTCACTGGGGGGACTCGGGATCCCCGCCGCGGGGCACCCCGGGACGTGGAGTCCGAGCACGTGGCCCCGCCCCCGGCCTTAGTCACGCCCCCAGTCTTAGCCACGCCCACCAACATTAGCGGCGCCGGTCTTGGCCACGCCCCCTATGCTGGGTTACGCCCCCTCCGGCTCGGGTGTCTCCCAAAGGCCAGGGGTCGGCCCCAAATGTCAGCGCTGGCGCAGGGAGCCCCGCGGGGGGATTGCTGGGAGGGGAACCTCCCCGAAATAAACACGGACCTTGACGCACTGAGTTGGTGCTCTTTATTGGTGCACGTGGCCCTGGGGGTGCTGCCCTAGCCTGGCTTGGGATCGTGCCTCTTCCACAGGTCGGACTGGAGGCGACCCCTAGAAGAACCTCCAGCCGGGCCTCGGGCTGCTACTGCACTCCTGTGTTATTGTGGGGTCTGTGTTGTTATTGCAGGGTCTCAGGCACTACGTGGGCTGTGTTATTGTAGGGTCACTGCTGTTACTGCAGGGTCTCAGGCAATACGTGGTCTATTGTTACAAGGCCTCAGGCACTACACAGGCTGCTGTTACTGTAGGGTTTCGGCCACATGGGCCGTGTGTCATTGTAGGGTTGCTGTTGTTATTATAGGGTCTCTTGCTGCCACTAGCAGATGCTGCTTCCCCGCTGATGGTGGCAGTGGCTGTGACACACTGTGCCATCGCATGGCATCATCCTGGGATTGTGAAACATGGGGAGATTCTCCCCACGCTGCTTTGCCACTGTCAGGTTTGTCACTGTAGGGACTCCCCAGCACAGTTCTCACCGCAGGTGCCTCCCTACGTCCTACTGTAGGGTCTTCTGCTTCTGCAGTGGATCTCTGCTGTACACTTGTTACTGCGGGGTCTCCCCGTGCTGTTCCATCACTGTGGGGTCTCCCCTCACTCAGGTGCTCTTGTAGGGTCTCCCAGTTTTTGTCCTCTGTCACGGGGTCTCACGATGGTCATCTCTTATTGTGCGCTCCCCTCACGCTGCACTGTTTCCTCACGTCTGCCTGTTACAGTGGGATCTCCCCCCACTCAGTGGTTATAGGAGGAGCTCCTCACGTTTGCCTGCTATTACGGGCTGCTCTGTTACTGTAGGCTCTCCCCGTCGCCGCAGCCCCCGTGCTGCAGGTGAGGGCCACGCTGGGTGCTGCTGGGCCGCCGTGTTGCTGCAGGCCCACGACCCACAGCCCAACCCCGAGAGAGGGGGGGGGGTTGAGACTGGGGCGTGAGCCTCGGGGGGAGGATCTGGGGGATGCGAGCCCGGCCCTGGCCCTGCATCCCCACCCCCCGCCGTGGCTATTTGAAGTGGGAGAGGAAATGACTGACGGGGTACTGGGGCGAGTCGATGCCCAGCGCCTGGCACAGCCCCAGCAGCCGCCCACAGGCCTCGGCGGGGCCATCCCCGGCGCAGGCCACGCTCAGGCAGGGCTCCTCGTAGCGCCCGCCCGCCTCCTCGAAGAGCGGATTGAGGCGCACCAGGCCGCGCCGCTGCAGGCCCTGCAGGGCCTCCATGACGCCACCGCGCAGGGCCTGGCCGTGCTCCGACGCCAGGCACATGATGCCCGCCAGCTGCTGGCGGGGCGAAGGCCGGGAGGGCAGCACGGGCGGCAGGCCCAGCGCCAGCAGCACGGCGGCCAGCAGCAGGTCGGGCCCGTAGACGGCGCGGATCCAGTCGCGCAGGTAGAAGCCGCCCATGCGAGGGTTGATCTCCAGCAGGCGCGGCCCGGCAGGGCCCAGCTTCAGCTCCACGTTGAAGACGCCGTGCCGCAGCCCACAGGCCCGGCAGCAGCGCAGGGCCGCCCGCACCAGCTGGGCCTGCCGGTCAGCGGGCAGGCAGGAGGGCAGTATGGCCGCCGTCTCCAGGAAGGTGGGGAGGCGCGTGGGGCCGTTGTCTGACACCCAGGCGCCCAGCAGCCGGCCCTCGAACAGCACCAGGTCGACGTCGTGCTCGGTGCCCGGCACGTACTCCATCAGCAGCATGGCGTTGCCCCAGCCCAGCCCGATGCCCGGGTGGTCGGCGTCGGCCCGCAGGTCGTACCACAGCTGGGCCGCGTGCGCGTGGCACTGCTCGGTGCTCTCCACCAGCCGCACGCCCACCGCCCCTGCCCCGAACTCCAGCTTGGCCACGGCGGGGAAGGGCACAGCGCCCGCCGCCCGCTCCACGTCGTCGTGGCTGCGCAGCCGGCAGCAGGGCACGGCGAAGGCAGCGGGAGGCGGGCGGCCGCGGCGGCAGCGCTGCAGGTGCTGGTGGGTACGGCTCTTCTGCTTGGCCAGGCGCACGGCGGCAGGAGAGCAGCCGGGCAAGCCCAGCCGCTGGCACAGCAGCGCCGTCAGCACCACGCAGTCGTCCCAGTAGGAGAGGCAGGCGTCGGGCCGCAGCCCGCGGGCGCGCAGCATCTCCAGCACATGCTCAACGTGCTCCTCGTCCCGACGGTGCTCCCGGCTGTCATAAGGCAGGAAGGTCTCCACCAGCCCAGCCGCAAAGTGCTCGGGGTCCGACTCTACCAGGTGGATCTGCAGCACCAAGCTGGTGGCACCACGGGGCGGTGGGACACAGTGTGCCCACCCCATGGCAAAACTACCCGGCGTTCACTCTGAAGCCTACGGATGGTTCCATCATCTCTGTCCCTGGTCCTGGTGCCCTGCCCCCATCCCCAGCCTGTCTCCATCCCCACCAAGCCCTGCTTTCCCCATCCCCATCTCTAATTCCCAGTCTCCAGCCAGTACCGGTGCCTCTGTACCCAGCCTGTTCCCGTCCTTCCAGTTCCTGATCGTCCGTGTCCTCATCCCTGGCCCTAAGACCCCTGTCCCCAGTGCAATTCCCCACATACGTAGGCTGTCCTCAGCCCTATCCATCATCTCTGTCCCCACTTCCCAGCACAACCAGGTTCCCACCATCCCTATCCTAGCTTCCCTGACCCCAGCCACTACAGGTCCTCTTTGTTCATTCCCAGTGTCATTCCCTAGCTTCGCGTTCACTCTGAAGCCTACTGTTGGCCCTATCTGCTCACCCGCAGGCCGTACTCGCGTGCTGCCTCCCAGACGAAGCTCTTGCTGGCTCCTCCAGCCCCGATCAGCAGGATGTCCTTGCCTTCAACTAGGTGGCACTGCGCCCGGTGCAGCAGGCACTCGGCCAGCAGTCGCGACACGTCTCCGGCAGGCTGCCCCACATCATGCCCCATGCCCTCAAACAGCAGGCAAGTCTCCAGGCAGCGCAGGCAGTTGGTAGAGAGGGCCACCAGCTCCAGAGTGTCATCCACGCACGACAACAGGAAATCCACACCTTGGGGACACAGAGCGCTCAGTGCCACAAGGCCACCAGCCCCACTTGCCTCCAAGAGAGCAGGCTCGAGGTCAGAGCTCACCAAGGACGTCGGTGTGGGCACGGGCACCGCCACGCTGAGTAGGGCTCAGCTCACCCTCCGCAGCCAGGAGGGCAGCCATGGTGGCCTCGGCGGCCTCCCGCAGCCGCCCTGCCAGTGCCTGCCGCTGTGCCGCATCTGCCAGGCCCCACTGCCGCAGGCTGGAGTCCAGACCCAAGGGCAGCACTGAACCGTGCCGCACTGGCATCTCTGCCCGCCCCACAGTACAGGCCACCTGTGGGGACACGCCAGCAAGGGGACACAGGGTGACACTGGAATGCAGGTGGGTGTCCCCAAGGCAGGGATGTGGGCTGCCAGCCCCCAGGGCACGGGGACTCATGGGGCCACGTGTTGGCACCCGGGAGTCCGGGGCGGGGGATGCTCACAGCCACACCCAGCCACACCTGGCCCAAGGAGAGGGGCTGCAGGAAAGGGGGTGGAGGCTTCCGACCCCACCCACGGGTGTGGCCCCGCCAGCCCCGCCCCCCAGACCATACCTGGCAGAGCTGGGGCCGGTCTCCCCAGGACCGGCAGACGACGGTGCAGATGCGCAGGGCCATGGGCAGCCGCGGGGCTGCACTGCCTGAGGGGCGAGGGACAGGGCAGGGACAGCAGCATCCCACCCGCAGCCCCCAGCTCACCCTGCGGTGCCCCAGCCCCAGAGAATGGCCAAGGACAGTCCCCCCCGGTGCCACGCTCACCCCCAGCCCAGGGGACAGGAGGGTCACCTTCCCCCCACCCTTAGGGATTGAGACCAAGGTGGCCACCCCCCACCCACGGGTGGACACGAGGGAGCCCCCAGAAGCCCTTCCTGGGTGGTGGGTACCCGAGGGGGGTCTTACGTGGGGGCAGCGAGGGCAGGCGGGCGGTGGGCACCAGGGCTTCCAGCAGGACACTCTCCTCCTCCTGTAGCCCCTTCAGCAGGGCTGTTACTGCCTGTGCCACTGCCTTGCCCTCCACCTTCCTGTGGGTGCTGTGGGGGTCTGTTCCACGCCACCGCCATCCTGACAGCCGCACTGCCACCTGTGTGCAGGGCAGTGTCACCCCATGCCACCCTTTCACAGCACCGCATGCCACCCCGTCCCCTGCAGTGCCATGTTACCCCATGCCACCAGACTGCACCACCCTGCCACCCCTGTCCCATGCAGTCACCTTGTCCCACATCATCCCGTCCCACTCCACCTGACCATCGTGCCACCCTGTCCCCCCCCTCTGCCACCCTCCCTCCCCCACATCGTGCCATGTCCCCCCTGCTGTGCCCACCTGATCGTAGGGCTGCATGGTGCTGCCCTCCAGGAAGGCGTCCACCTCATCCTGCACCAGGCTCTCCTGGCCCTGGGGGTCCTGCAGCCTCACCAGGCGCACCCCGGGAGGTTTGGGCTCCTCAGGCAGGGTCTCCCACAGCCCAGTGATGAAGGCCAGGGTGGGGGGCACAGGCAGGCCGGCGCGGGCAGACAGCAACCAACGAGAGAGCAGGGGGTCCTCCAGCCAATGTGCCAGCAGTGCTGAGCCTCCAGTGGGGCAATCAAGGTCACGGGCCAGCTCACCCTCCCAGCTGCCCTCGGACCCAAAGGTGCCAGTGACGTAGGAAGCACGCCGAGGAGGCACAAATTCTTCCAGGGCAGTGCAGCCCCCTGCCTCGAAGGAGACCCCCCTGGAGAGCAGCAGGGACCACGCGCCTGGTGATGTCTCTGAGGGCACGCGGCTGGCCCAGGCAGGTGCCAGGCACAGCACCATGGCACCTGTGGGTGGCACGGGATGAGCAGTGGCTGTGTCCCCACACAACGGGGGGGCTGTCAGGTGCCAGGCCTGGGGGACAGGGTCATACTCACCTGGGCAGCGGGTGCCACCCTCCAGCAAGATGGGCAGGAAGGCGGTGGGGGAGCCCAGTATGCACACAGTCATATCCAGCCGGCCAAATCCTGCAGCAAGGCAGTGGTAGGGTACATGGGACCTGCTGCCACCCCATGTGAGCAGCCCCTGTCCTCAGCCTGACACTTTGACCCCAAGCCCAGCACCACAACCCCAAGCCAGCACCACAGTCCCCAGCCCTGCTGTGAAACACAAAACTGTTTTTTTCCTTTGTCACAAAACTCGCTTCGTGAGGCCTTTTTGCTGATAAGACTCTGACAACTGCTAATTATCTAGAGGGGCAAGTTGTGGGTGCCACCGTGCTCCAGGACTGCTGCTCATGATTGTAAAGACAAGCAGATAGGAGGTAAGAAGTCTTTTTCAGGGTGCAGCTTGAAGGAGCTGACCACTGCCAAAGGTGATAATGCTTGTGTATGGCAATGAAGGCACCACTCCCTGCCTGCAGGGCCAGGTGTGTCACACTAACAGAGTGAAAAGAAGAAGGAAGTTCTACAAACTGGAGCAAGACACACCAGCACTGTGCCTTGCTGCCAACCCACCTCTTAGCAGCCTGGTGTCCCCAGCTTGGCACCATGGTGCTGTACCACAACCCCAGCCTGGCACTGCATCCCCAGGCCACACCAAGTTCCCATACTGCCCTATCCCACCACCCCACCACCCCGTGCCACCCACACCCACACCAGTGCCTCCCGTACCCATACCAGTGCGGGGCTGGCCGGTGCGGTCTATGGTGAGGGGCATCCCCTCCAGGCGCAGGGTGCGCTGCAGCGCCTCATAGGCACGGGCAGTGGGGTCGGGGTGCCCGCTGTCCTCGGGTCCCTCGCCGTCGGACACTTCCTCCTCCTGCCAGCCCGGGCACAGCGCCTCGGGACCGGTCCACTCCTGCTCCTTCATGCCCGGAGCCTGCTCCGCGCTCAGCCGGTCCACCGAAAGCTGTCACAGGGCACGGCCGAGCTGGCACCGCAACGGGCACCGCAACGGGCACGAGGGCCGTAGGTTCAGGGGGGGCATCGGGCAGCCAAGGGACGTCGCTGGGGCGGTGGTGTCGGGGTGCCCGGGAGCAGTGCCAGCCCCCGGACAAAGCGTCCCCTTGTCCCCGCAGGGTCACGCGGAGGCGGTGGGCACGGCGCTGCCACACGGAGCGCCCGGCACCACCCAGCCCCGCCGAGAAGGGGAAGGGGCCCCCTGCCCTACACGCCCCGTGCCACCACTCACCATGCTGCGGGCGTCGGAGGGCTGCAAGAGACGGGAGGGGGGTTACAGTGAGCAGGACGACGCAGCCGGCGCGGTCAGCCGCACCGGTACCCCGCCGTGCCACGGTGCGCTCGGAGGGAAACTGAGGCACGCGCGGCCACGCGGCCCCACGGGGACGGGCCGTGCCCGCAGTCACGCGTGGTCGCTGGCAGTGGGGTAGCCCCGTGCCCCGGCTTAGCGGCACAGAGCCCCATTGTCCCCGGCTTCCACCCGCCCGTCCCCGGCGCCGCGCGGTGCCGCCCCGCACGTCCCTCGGCTTAGCGCGACGGCTGCCCGCGATTTCACCGCCGGACACGCGGGGCACAGCGCACGCGAACGCCCACTGACACGCGTGGCGCCGCCGCCGCCCGCACCCACCGGCGGTCGCGGTCGCTGTCGCTGTCGGGCGGCTGTGGCGGTGGTGCCCGCGGAGCTGTGCCCGTTCTGCACCGGCGGCGAAGGCGCCTCCAGCGGCAGAGGGGCGTCCCCGGGGGAGGGCGCGGGGCGGGGCGGGGAGGCGGGGGAGAGGGGTCGGAGGGTGTGCGGGGTGTGCTGGCACCTGGGTTCGGGGGTGTGGGGTATGCGGTGTGAGGAAACTATGGGGGCGTGGAAGCGAGGATGCGGGGGCAAGAGTATATGGGGCAAAGAAGTATGGGGAAATGGAGATGGGGGACACGGAGGCCTGGGGAGAAAGGTTTATGGGGTTACAGGGATTTGGAGACGCGGAGATTTGCGTGGAGGATGCGTGGAGACAGGGGTGTGGGGATGTGGCAACAGGTGGATAGGAGGATATGGAGATAAGGGAACGCAAGGGTATGGGAAACAGGAGATTTGAGAATGGGGCTGAGGAACGTCGGAATGGGGGCGGCTGGATTCGGGGACACGGAGACACGGGGATATGGCAACAGCGGGATGTGAGGCCGCACGGATTTGGGGACACGGGACACGAGCGGAGGGGCACGCAGCCGGCACCGCGGCACGGAGCCAGGGACAGTTGCCGGGGTCGGTCGGGGACAGCGGCGCAGCTGACACCGCGGGGCTGAAATGTCACCACGGGCGCGGGGCCAGGCTCTGGCGGCACCGCACGGCTCGCATGGCACGTGGGGGCTCGCAGCAGCGGCATGGCCGCACAAGCGGCACCGATGGCACAAATGGCACGAGTGACGCAGGTGGAGCCCGCGGCACAAGCGGCACCGCTGCTACACGTCCCCACGGAGCTCCCCACGCGCGTCCCCGCGCCTCCAGGGTAGCGACCGCCTCCGGGCGACGAACGGCGCGGCGCGGCCGCCCCGGCAGCGCCCCGTGGGAGCGCGGAGCCACGACGCGCCTCGGCGGCCTCCGATCCGGCAGGGGGCGCCCTCCCCACCCGCCGCTCGCCCCGGCCGCTCTCTATGGCTGCGGGGCCGGGGCCGGGGCGGGCCGGGGCGGGGGGGGAAGCAGCGTCCGGCGGCCATGGCGGACACCGAGAAGCTCAACCTCGACTCCATCATCGGCCGCCTCCTGGAGGGTGAGCGGTGGGCCTCGGGCTCCGAGGCGACCTTGGGCGCGGCTAGGGGCGGGAGGGGCCGCGGCTGTGCCTCCAGCCGCCGAGCTGGAGGACGGGGATGCGGGCCGGGGCCTGCGGGGAAACGTGGGGCCGTGGGGAGCTCTGGGAGGGGGGGGCTGCGGGGCGCCGGGGAGCTGCGGGGGATCGGGGGGCCGTGGGGCCTCGGGGGACCGTGGGGAGCCGGGGGGTGGGAGCCGCTGGGGGCTGCGGGGGACGCGGGGGGCTGTGGGAAAGAGAGGGGCTGCGGGGCACCGGGGGGCTGTAGAGGCCTGGGGGCTATGCGGGATGCTGGGGCACAGCCGTCTCTGGGAGCTCCGGGGGTGGAGTGGGTTTTGCTGAAGGCCTCCCCCGCACAGTGCAAGGCTCACGGCCGGGGAAGAACGTACAGCTGACAGAGAACGAGATCCGGGGGCTGTGCCTGAAGTCACGGGAGATATTCCTGAGCCAGCCCATCCTGCTGGAGCTGGAAGCCCCCCTGAAGATTTGTGGTGAGCGGCAGGCCGGGGGGATGGGAGGGGGTGGGCTGGGTGCCAGTGTCACTGTGTGTCCCCTGTGATCCTCTTACAGGTGACATCCACGGGCAGTACTACGACTTGCTGCGGCTCTTTGAGTACGGGGGCTTCCCCCCCGAGAGCAACTACCTGTTTCTGGGTGACTACGTGGACAGGGGCAAACAGTCGCTGGAGACCATCTGCCTGCTGCTGGCCTACAAGATCAAGTACCCTGAGAACTTCTTCCTGCTGCGTGGCAACCATGAATGTGCCAGCATCAACCGCATCTATGGCTTCTATGACGAGTGTGAGTGCCACACCGACCCCACTGCTGACAAAGAGGACTGCCCCCACCTTCTCACCCCAGTACCAACCCCACGCATACAGCCAGCCTAAAGTCCCCACTGCCATCCCCATCTGCAGCTCTTCCATCTCCTGCAGACCTCATGTCCCCATCCCAGCCACCTCCATGGCCTCCCACCCCCCTGGAGGGTTCAGTTGCACCCTGTGTGCAGTGTGGGACACTGGGGGGTGGGGAGGGTGGAGCACAGCCTGCAGGAAGGGCTCTTGTGAGCACCCACCCCACTGCCTCACAGGCAAGCGGCGATACAACATCAAGCTGTGGAAGACCTTCACCGACTGCTTCAACTGCTTGCCCATTGCTGCCATCGTGGATGAGAAGATCTTCTGCTGCCATGGAGGTGGGCACAGGGCTGGGGGCTGCTGCCTGGGTCCAGAGGCTGCCCCACAGCATAACCTGATGCTCCTGTCCCATGCAGGGCTGTCCCCTGACCTGCAGTCAATGGAGCAGATCCGGCGCATCATGCGACCCACAGACGTGCCCGACCAGGGCCTGCTGTGTGATCTGCTCTGGTCTGACCCTGACAAGGATGTGCAGGGCTGGGGCGAGAACGACCGCGGTGTCTCCTTCACCTTTGGGGCTGAGGTGGTGGCCAAGTTCCTGCACAAGCACGACCTGGACCTCATCTGCCGGGCACACCAGGTACTGGGATCAGGCCCCACCCACGCTCCATACCAGTGGAGTTTTTCCCAGGAGTGAACATTTACTCTTGAGGATGTGGTTGGGCTCTTTTGAAGGGGCTGCTGTCCCCTGGGGGGTTTGTGGGCCCTGTGGACAGAGCACAGGGAGATCTGAGTGCTGCTGCCCCGCAGGTGGTGGAGGATGGCTACGAGTTCTTTGCCAAGCGCCAGCTCGTCACCCTCTTCTCTGCACCCAACTATTGCGGGGAGTTTGACAACGCAGGCGCCATGATGAGCGTGGATGAGACCCTCATGTGCTCCTTCCAGGTGAGTCAGGGCTTTGCTGGGGAGGTGGCAGCACACAGGGCTCTGCCTGCAGCCCCCCCACTCACCCTTTACCCGCAGATTCTGAAACCGGCAGACAAGAACAAGGGCAAGTATGGGCAGTTCAGTGGGCTGAACCCCGCTGGCCGCCCTGTCACCCCGCCGCGCAACTCTGCGAAAGCCAAGAAGTGAGTGCCCGTCACCAGCAGCCCCAGCACCAGGTTGCTCCTCTCTCCACTTGTTTTTTTATTTGTAAGATCCTGTCCCCCCTGCCACTTTCTACTGTACCAAATGCGCCCTCTGGGGCAGGACCTGCCCCTTGGATGGCAGTGGAGGCAGGGCGGGAGGCTTTTTTGGGGAATAAACTTGTAATGGGTCTTAAGATGTGGGTTTGGGATTATCCTGCATGGCCAGACAGTGCCAGCTGCTGCTGCGCTGTGGCATCGGAATGGGGGCTCTCAGCACTCAGCATCGCTGTCCTCTGCCAACACCTCCTGGCTGGGTGCTGGGCCAGGCCCCCTTGGCGTCAGCACAGAACCAAAAAACAGCGAGCGGAACTTGGGGAGTGAAAAGACATAGGGTCAGAGATCCATGCCAGTCCTCTACCCCCTCCCCCCATGTCAGTGCCCATCCCACACCTTCTTGTGAGGGGGTGTCCCTGGCACAGCTCCGTACTCCTCCTCCTCTTCCTCAGGGTCGCTTTTTTCAGGGCGAGGTGTGTGCAGGGAGAAGGTGGGGCTGGGGGGTTCCCCTGCCTCCCCCTCACAGGCACTACTTCCCAAGGCCACCATGTAGGACTCGAGATCATCAGCAAAGTCATCGGAGGGGGCAGGCGGGTGGGAGATGCTGCTGGAGGGGGCAGTGAGTGAGTAAATGCTGGGCAGCATTAGGACTATTCACTAGTCCCTACTGCTGGCAGCATGGGGCCATTTGCTCTGATCCTGACTGATGGCAACGGGCCGTTACCCATTGGTGGCAGGGGGTGGCTGTGAGTCGCTCTCTGGGTCCAGGAGGGTGGCCAGGACAAGGTGTGCCTCCATAAGGGAGTCATCCAGGGTGAAAATGGCTGGCCTAGGGGCACACACGGACTGTGTGAGACTCCTGGAGGATGGGTCTGGGTGGATGAGGGACACTGGCATTGGTTCCTACCTGCCGGGATCATCATAGTGGATGGTGAGGGGTAGGCTGGAGGCCTCCGCGAAGCTCAGGAGCCCCTAGGGGGAGATGAGGCTTAATGGGTCCGAGGGGCCACTGGGATATGGGGCACAGTGTCACGGTCACACTCACCCTGAACTCCTTGAGACAGAAAGTGATGCAGGAGCCGGGCACCACTGCCACCTCCTGGAACTCATCCGGCGCCAACCACAGCTCTGTCACCATGGCCTTGCCAGGCTCTGCAGTGGAGCAATGAGCACCAGCTCCAGCAGACCCCTCCCTGTCCCCGTGCCCCGTCCCCACTCACCGCTGCCCTCCTCCAGATGGCTGCGCAGCCCGATTCGGCCCCCAGCAGCAGCTCCCAGCGTCACCTCCGCCAGTGTCTGTGGGAAGTGCACCACGGCCTCCGCCAGCACCCTGCAGTGAGGGCACTCAGCACCATAACCCCCCCAGTAGCTCCCACCCCACATACCCCAGCACTCACTGTGCAGGAGCACGCAGCCGGCTGGCGCAGCGCTGCGTGTCGAAGATGGCCTGCAGCCGCTCACACTCCTGGAAGGCCAGCTGGTGGGTGCGGGTGACACCTGCACGACAGCCCCATTAACCCCCGCTGTAGCCCCGTGACCCCCCCGGTGCTGTCACCTCCCCCTCACCGTGCTTGCAGTGCAGCTGTAACACCAGCTGCCCAGCGCAGGGCCGTAGCAGCACCAGGCAGCGCTCCACCGACTTGTCCAGAGTTGGCAGCGAGCGGAACACGCCCAGGAAGGACTGGGAATAAGGACAGCATCACCGCCTGTCCCTCCCGGAGGGACAGACGTAGGGGGTTTTTGGGGGGGGGTCAGCACCTTCATCAGCACCTTGCAGCGGGTGCCGGGGGGGCCTGGCTCGTAGCGCTGGAAGAACAGCGGCGCGAAGAAAAAGGAGGCGAAGGCGGAGCGGGACGCGCTGGCGGCACGCAGGGACAGCTGAGGGCAGACAGGGGGTGGCACCGGGCGCCGGGGGGGGTGGGGCACGGCCACGTCCCGGCATCCCCCTGCGCCCGTACCCCAGCGTCAGAGGGCTCCAGGTAGAGGTGGTCGCCGACACGGGACAGCGCGTGCACGGCATGGCCGAGGGCTGCGGG